GGTATTTCTATTATAGCAGCACTAGATAACTAAGACAAGGGATTTTCAATGGCCTGTCATTCAGAAGTAGATCACCAGGCCTTTCTTCTGAGGCACCTCTGGGTGCACTTGAACGTCCAGCCTTCCAGTTAGCAGCTGCGTGTGTTAACGGTTTGCAGCACCCTCACACTCCCCACTCTCCATCTTGCCCCTGTGGTCTAACCTCGATGATGTGCCGAGAAGTTGAGAAGCAGATCTGGTTTCACTTCCCCCAGGTGTGTCCACACTCCTGGCAGGAGTGCGGTGATGACTGGGAAATCCGCGGTGAGCAGGGCTGCCTCTTGCTGAATTTGGTGCTGTGACAGTTGTCCGTAATCACTGTTGAGGAGACCCCGTGCCCAGCACCACGCTGGCCACCAGGTCCAGCCACATGAAATCACCATTTCTGCAGGTCAGAAGCAGTTGGCTGTTGGCGGCTTCTCCTGGTCCACTCTCTGACGTGTGACGATTCGCCGCCCGGCTGACAGGGGCTCTTGCCCAACCCCTTGGGCTTCCCCAGGTTGGTTCCTCTGCCCACAGTACTGACTTCCTCCTCCTTTCGACAAGACAGGCAGACACAGCTAGATGAACGCTCACCCCCAAGCTGCCCGTGAGCTGGGCGTCTTAGTACCAGATGTTTTTCCTTTAAGATTTTAGCTCTTTAGGCATTGTCACATACCAGACTCCGCAGCACCTGGAGAGGGGCGGCCTGCAGGGTGAGGTTGCCAAGGACCCTTGTCAAGGGGCCAGTTACCAGTTGCCATGGAATCCACGCCGACTCCTGGCGACCGCATGCTGGTCAGGGTGGAGCTGTGCTCCAGAGGGTTGTCCGTGGCTGAGTTTTCAGGGGTAGGCCTCTCGCTCCAGCTGTGGCCTTTTCAAAGGGAGCTGAGAGCGGGGGCTTTTCGCAGGCACTCTCCCCGTAGCTGGGAGAAGCATTCCTTCACCCTGAAGAGGGATCTGGGGGGTGCCGCACAGCACCCACTACGGGGTTTGCCTTCATGAACTGAATCGGAAAAATCTGAGCAGCAACCACTCATATCCCAACCCAAGAATTCAAAGATACCTTTCTGTCTCTGTCACGTACCCAATACCTATCCTTACTACCCTCCTATATTACATTCAGATATCTGTAATGACTAGGTTACATTTGAAGGAGCCCTGGTGGCACAGTGGTTAAGAGCTCGGCTCCTAACCAAAAAGTTGGCAGTTCGAATCCACCAGCCCCTCCTTGGAAACCCCATGGGGCGGTTCTGCTCTGTCCTGTAGGGTCGCTATGAGTCGGAAATGACTCAACGGCGACAGTCCATATTACATTCAAAGGAAGCCTGATGGCACAACGGCTAAGTACTCACCTGCTAACTGAAAGTTGGTGGTTCGAACCCACCCAGTAGTACCACAGAAGAAAAGGCCTGGCAGTCTGCTTCTGGTCAGATTACAGTCAAGAAAACCCTATGCAGCCCAGTTCTGCTCTGTAATACACGGGGTCGCCGTGAGTCGGAATCGACTCCACAGCGACTAACAACAACATACTGTATTTTCATAGTTTTTCTGAAAACTATGTTTTTAGCCTTTTTTAATGCTCCTCTTGACCTAATAAATCGATTTCTTCATCCCCCCCTGAAATGAGTTATAATCTGCAGTTTGGAAAACACCATCACAGAGTATTAAAACTTCGTTGTTCCCAAGAGGACAGAAGTGGCATGATCCCACTTATGTGAAGCATCTAGAAAAGGAACATACGTAGAGACCAAAGCTCTTAGTGGTTACGGGGAAGGGGAGGAGGAAAGGGGGAAGTTACTGGCACTGAGCTTCCGTGAAGGGTGATGGGAAAATTTGGAACTGGGTGGTGGTGATGGTTGCGCAACAGGATGAACATAATCAGTCTCTGAACTGAACATGTCAAAATGCTGAAAGGCCGAGTGTTTTACCAGATACTATTCTTTTGTTTATTGTTGTAGTTGAAGCAAAAGCTTACATTTCAAGTTAGTCTCTCATACAAAAATTTATGCATACATTGTTATGTGACCCATAATTGCTCTCTCTATATGGTGACAGCACACTCCTTCTTTCCAGCCGTGATTTCCAGCCCTGATTTCCTGTGCTATATACGTATTTTAACCACACACACGCATACGCAGAGTTCAGCGAGATTTTAGAAGGAAAATCTAGCGTCATTCCCTATGCACGTTCCTACCAGACAGGCTGCCCGTGGCAGGCAGGACCTTGACTTGGAAAGCTGGCATTGCATGCCCTGCATCCACCTGGCAGGTGTCTGTCAGTGTCTGGGGAATGCCAGGAGGTGCGGAGAAGAGAGGAGGAGAGAGGAGCGAGGTTGAGATAAATTAGCAGAGCCCAGACCAGATGCCGTGGCGTCCGTTCTGCCTCGTGGTGACCCCACGTGTGTGAGAGCAGAACTGTGCTCCTTAGGGTTTTCAGTGGCTGGCTTTTCAGAGGTAGATTGCCAAGCCTTTCTTCCAAGGCTCCCCGGTTGAACTTGAACCTCCAACCTTTTGGTTAGCAGCCGAGCATGTTAGCTGTTTGCGCCACCCAGGGACCACTAGAACCCAAACCCAAAAAAAAACAAACCCGTTGCCATCGAGTGGATTCTGACTCATAGTGACTTTATAGGACAGAGTAGAACTGCCCCATGGGTCTTCCAAGGCTGTAATCTTTACAGAAGCAGATTGCAACATGTTTCTCCTATGGACAGGCTAGGGGGTTCGAACCACCAACCTTTTGGTTAGCAGCCGAGCACTTAACCAATGTGCTACCAGGGCTCCTTCCCCTGAGCCTA